TTCCAACCGGCCCCCAATATTCTATAGTTCTATAGTCGAAAATTTAAAAAAAACTTTCAAATAAGCTGTGAAAAGAAACATTTTATCAATAAAACTGAATGAATGAAGTTGAAATTAAACATCTTAGACAAATACATCAGAAATATTTGTATTAAGATACGCTAATTCATTCAACCTTTATTTAGACAGGTAATCCCATTGAGCCTCGAGGACTCATTTACAAGAGAGACCTGATTTCAACAAAGAATGATGACAACAATGGACAACAGCAACAACAATAAACAAGTATAAAAAGTCATACTGCAGTTTTTTTTTTTTTTTTTTTACAAATAGGATGGCTAAAAGAAAAAGGTAACAAAAAAAAAAAAAAAAACAGCTAGATTCTAAGACAAATGTAGAAAACTAAAAACAGGAACATGTCTGCATTGGTCCCTGCCAGGAGTCCAACAGATTCTTAAAGCCACTTAGAGAGGTCAAGGTCGAGAGCTTCAAATCTTTTTGTAAGAAATTTTAGGAAACAGGAGCGGAATAGGAGAAGGCCCTTTTGCCTAGTTCAGTCCTCATTGAGGGAACACTGCAGGTAATAATGTCCTGAGAGCGCACGCTGTAGCTGCACTCCCGCAGAGACATGTAGGAGATGTATGAAGGCAGCAGACCAAGAAGTGATTTAAAGATGAAAATGTACCAGTGAGAGAGTCTGCATGAAGTTAATGATGTCCAGTTAACCAGTGAATACAGGGTGCAGTGGTGGGTACGATAATCACAGCCAGTTATGAATCTTAGTGCACCATGAAAGACAGCATTCAACATCTGCAGGGTTCTTGTAGGAGCCTTCATGTAAATAATGTCACCGTAATCAATGGAGGGAAGGAAAGTCACAGATACAAGGTGTTTTCTAGCATTCAGGGTTAGACAGGATCTGTTTCTGAAAAAGAAACCCAGTTTAACTTTCAGTTTCTTTACCAAGTTTTCCACATGGAGCTTAAAAGAGAGATGTGAGTCGACCAAGATACCCAAATATTTATAGGAATCAACAAACTCAATGGGGACACCATTTGAGGATAAAATCGGAGGAAGAACTGCTGGGACCAACTTCCTATTGGAAAAAAGCATCCCTTTGGTTTTGTCGGCATTTAGGACAAGTTTGAGGCGGAACAAATCAGTCTGGATGATGTTGAATGCAGATTTCAAAAGCTGGAAAGCCTTAGCAACAGTTTTAGCTCAACAATAAACAACTGTGTCATCAGCATAGAAATGTATGGATGCATTAGGGATGTTTTTACCTACATTATGTATGTAGATTGTAAAGAGGGTGGGTCTTAAGACTGAGCCTTGTGGTACACCATTGTTGACTGTTAAATAACTGGAGGAAGTACCATTATGTTGAACACATTGCCTCCGGTCTGAAAGATAGTTAGAGAACCAACCAATGGTGTGTTCTGAGAAACCAATTTCTGAGAGTTTATGACACAAGATGTTCTGATCCACAGAGTCAGAATCTTTAGACAGGTCTAAGAAAAGTGCAGCACAATAATCCTTAGCATCCAGTGCTTCAACAACATCATTAAGAACCTTCAGTGAAGCAGTGGTTGTGCTGTGTTGTTTCCTGAAACCAGATTGATGTGGAGGTAAGATGTTAAATGAGTCCAGGTAATTTTTGATTTGAGAGTTTATCAGTTTTTCTAGAACCTTGGCTAAAATGCAGAGTTTAGAGATTGGTCGATAGTTGTTCAGTGAGGTGGGGTCACCTCCCTTCAGCAAAGGAAGAACAAAGGCTGTTTTCCAAGTGTCTGGGATGGAGTTTTGTCTCATGGAGAGATTGAAGATGTGGGTCACAGGGACTGTGATGATATGAGCAGCCAGCCTTAAGAAATAAGGTGGAAGTTCATCTGGACCTGCAGATTTTTTAGGATCAAGATCTTTTAACAGTTTATTAACCACTGACTGAGAATGGAGAAAAAGAGAAGCTGTGATTAACTGAGGATTGACTTGTAGGAGGGATTTGATTTGTAGAAGTTTGGTTATTAAGTGAAGTGGCTGATCTTCCATTAGTAACTGTGTCAAATAAAGAACCAGAAGCAACAAAATGTTTGTTGAAACAGTTCAGGATCTCGTGCTTATTTGACACAGGAACAGAGTTAATGAGAAGTTGTGATGGGAGGTCAGATGATTGGGGGGTGCCTGAGAGAGATTTGATGGTTTTCCAGAATCTGTTAGGGTCATTTAGATTTTTGGAAGTCTGAGATAAGAAATAGTTGTGTTTTGCTGCTTTGACAGCAGTTGTGCATTTATTCCTCATCTGTCGAAAACTCAACCAATCAGTGTCTGAGTCAGATTTTCTCGCTGCAGCCCAAAGATGGTCTCTCCTGTGCAGGAGGTCAGCTAGCTCTGGAGTAAACCGGGGGCTGTCTCGTCCCTTTATTCTGAACTGACGAAAAGGAGCATGTTTGTTCACAAAATAAATGAAACTATTATGAAAATAGTTCCAAGCGGAGTTCACGTCATCAGTTAACAGAATACGATGCCAGTCAAAGTGAGACAGATCCCAGAGGAATGACTGTTAACAAAAACGTTTCAGATCCCTTTTTTGAGTTAATCTGGGCTTAGAAGGTGGAAGTTTAATATCTCTCAAAACAGCTGTCACACAATGATCACTCAAAAGATCAGTGAATACACCTGTACCAGGGAATTTGTGAGGCATATTAGTTAGAAACAGGTCTAAGATGGAGGATTTTTCAGGACGGTTTTTGTTTAATCTAGTGGGAGAGTTGATCAATTGGGTAAGATTGAGAGACAGGCAACATTCCTTGAATTTATCACAGAGGGGGGTCGACTTATACCAATCAATGTTGAGATCTCCTGCCAAAAGGATCTCTTTGAATTTTAAATGACCAAGAAATTCCATCAGGGCAGACAGAGCCTCAGGTGTTGCTAAGGGTGGGCGGTAACAGCAGACTACAGATAAGATTTGGCCACCATTTAAGGTGATGTTTACAGCTAAGGCTTCAAACTGGTTTGGAATTGTTTTAGAAGACACAGGACTAGCAACCAAAAAATCTCTGATGTAAACAGCGACTCCCCCCCCCAATACTTTTTTAAAAAAGTCATTGTGTTTCTAGAACTAGACTTAACTGTAAAGACTCCAAAAAGCAAGCAAATAACTTTTTTTCTGCATACTTAGGCTAACAAATATATTGTCAAGACAGCCAGCATACAGAAAGTTTGTCTTACACTTGTAAAGAATATTAGAAATACATACTTTTGTCAAGCATGCTAATTATGCTACAAAAAGAAAAAAAAACTGAAAAGTCTTCCAGATTATTTGTCTTAAATAATTTTTTTTTAAATTCTCTATGCAAACTTTTGGTTGCTTTAAATATCTTGATTTGCCCCTGCCCTCCCTTTTGCCCACTCCTGACCTTGGCCCATAGTTCTTCTTCTTCTTTCGGCTGCTTCCTGCATTAGGGGTCGCCACAGCAAACTAAGTCGCAAAAAGACTTGGCAATTATTTTAATGCCGGATGCCCTTCCTGACGCAACCACAGACCATCGAGCTACCACAGCCCTCTGTGTGGAGCAGAGAGCTGCTATCTAGGACACCCGGAGGAGCAGATGGTGGAGGTTAAGGGCCTTGCTCAAGGGCCCAGAATGGGATGAATGAAGGTGGGGGCAGGTGTGGATGCTTCACCTACCCCACCTAGGCTCATAGTTACTAAAATAAAAAAGGCAATTATTGTCTATGTTTGGTGTCAGCTTTAAAAATCTTTTCATCTGACTTCAAGCTCACTATTTTACTACTTTTTACGCTTTCAGGAGTGAAATTACTCTTAATAACTCTGAATTATAGGCACCTGGGATGAATCGAAATGTATTGCCCAGGGAGGAAAACAAGCATAATCAATGTCCCCATTGAAGCCCTGTTGTGAGAAACACTAAGCAGGAGACAGCAAAAATTTTCCATTGTTTATGACGCTTCACTGACTGTTAAAACTTAATGTTGACAACATAGTAGTTAATCCACAGACCATGTTTAAAAGTGATATTCACATTTCAGCTGAAGTTCAGATAACCATCTATCCATCAATCCATTTTCTTCAGCTTATCCGGGGTTGGGTCGTGGGGGTAGCAGCCTAAGTAGGGAGGCCCAAACTTCCCTCTCCCCAGCCACTTGGGCCAGCTCCTCTGGGGGAATCCCAAGGCGTTCCCAGGCCAGCCAAGAAACATAGTCCCTGCAGCGTGTCCTGGGTCTTCCTCTGGGTCTTCTCCCTGTGGGACACGCCTGGAACACCTCACCAGGGAGGCGTCCAAGAGGCATCCTAACCAGATGCCCGAGCCACCTTAACTGGCTCCTCTCGATGTGGAGAAGGAGCAGCTCTACTCTGAGTTCCTCCCGGATGACCGAGCTTCTCACCTTATATCTAAGGGAGAGCCCAGACACCCTGCGGAGAAAACTCATTTTGGCTGCCTGCATCCGTGATCTCATTCTTTCGGTCACAACCCAAAGGGAGGCAACAAGTATGCCCACTCCTGCTCGGTGCCTCTCACCAGGGGCAACTCCAGAGTGGAAGAGTGTCCAACCCCTCTCAAGGAAGCTGGTTCCAGAGCCAGAGCCATGCGTTGAGGTGAGTCCGACTATTTCTAGCCGGAACCTCACAACCTCACACACCAGCTCAGGCTCCTTCCCCACCAGAGAGGTGACATTCCACATCCCAATAGCCAGCTTCTGTAGCCGAGGATCAGACCTCCAGGGTCCCCGCCCTGCACCCATCCCACATTGCACCCGACCCCTTTGGCCCCTCCCACAGGTGGTGAGCCCATGGGAAGGGGGACCCACGTCTCCTCTTTGGGCTGTGCCCGGCCGAGCTCCATGGGTAAAAGCCCAGCTACCAGGCACTCTCCAGCGTGCTCCACTTCCAGGCCTGGCTCCAGAGTGGGGCCCCGGTGACCCACGTCCGGGCAAGGGAACATCGTTTCCATTGATTGTACTCATCATAAGGGGTCTTGTTGAGAAGTTGAGATAATGAATATGTTAAAGCTGCCTTTTAATAAATCCTTGGATCCGTTATTGACCTTGACCACTGCAGAGTGGAAACATTATTTAAGAGTATGCTGGTGAAGATTCACAGTCATCCAGGTCATGATCAACCCTCAAAAATGTTAAAACACAAAAACAACTTGACTTCTATTCTGATATAAAATAGAATAGAAGAATAGAAGCCCAGTTACTTGTTTTTTTTTCTTTTCTTTTTTTTTTAGATCATATAGGAGCTGTGGAGGTATCAGAATATAGCTGCTTAATTTTACAGTTTCATTCTTGTCACTACAATCTTAAATTTGCATATTTTTCCTCATTTCCAAAACATCACGTTAAAGCATGGGAAATTCCAACTAATGGCTAACATTCCACCCATTGCAAGGTACTGCTGCGATAACATAATTTATTTTTAATTGGCAGTGGTCCCAGTGTCGTTGATGATTGAATTGGAGATAGTAGAATGTTACAGGAATGTAAGAAATGTTAAGAAGACATTGCAATTAGTCCGTCTTTTCTCGTGTTTCCTTTTGCTTCCAGGTAATCACAGCCTCCTGGAAAATGCAAAGTAAAATGACTCCGATGCTCATTGTTGTTAAACTGCAGAGCATAGCGAGGCTGTCAGTAACACGAAGTGCAGTCCACTCCTTGAAGAGAAGACCGGAGGCAAAAATCACAGTGGTTGTGAACATCACATAGTAAATTGCTTCAAATATGTTGGAACTGAAACACTCCAGGGCCTTATTGATGAAGAAGAACTGGATCAGGATGCTGACAGTCAATGTCACCAGCAGGCCCAGGAAGACAACCAGGGCTCTGGAGTTTACTGGCCCTTCTCCGAACAAATCTGGGGCCACCAGACCAAGCCCTTTGCTGCTTGGGACAGTGAAGCTTCCCAAGAGGGAACATATGGCCACATACACAATGATGTTTGATTTTCCATGAGCTGGAGCGATCCACAGGATCAGAGTGATCAGCATCAGGACCACCAACAGGACATATGTAACGAACACTGTAGGATGAGAAGATAAACTGGTATCATATCTGAAAATATTATGAGGAGAAATTGAAAATTAAAGAAAAAAAAGTTCCTCATTACCTGGGTCTGACAGCCTCTCCTCGAGCTCCAGTCTTGATGTTGCCACAGCTGCAGGAGCATGAACGATAAGTACAACAGATCCACAGCAACACAGCACACAGCCGAGCTTCCCCAGGATGTTTAAATGCTCCTCCAAGAGCCAAGAAGCCAGCACAGCCCTATATTACAAACAAACATAAATGAAATAAATATATATACTGTATATATATATATATATATATATATATATA